TTTTGGTCCTTCGAGCCGGATCTCAAACCGGCATCCGCGAGTTCGGGAGTGCTGTCCGTGTGTAAGTGGAGCCGAGTCAGTTGGAAGGAAGGGACACACGCTGTATCATGGATATCAGCACCGTGCTCGCGAGTCAACACGACATCTTTGGCCGCATGGCTCGCTCGGTCGACAATCTCCGCAAGCTCGGCGCGGCCAACATCACCGTGACCGCCGTCGAAACTCGCCTCAAGATACTCGACGGTCTGTGGAACAAATTCACGGCACAGCACGATCTCGTCCTGGCTGGGTACAAAACCGGCTATGCAGAGAGTGAGTACGCTAAGACAAACCTTTACGACACCGTTGAGACGACCTACGTCCAACAGCGCTGCGCACTCAGCGGGTACCGACCGACGGGCCCCGCCGCCGCAGCTCCAGCCGCGCAAACCGAGTCCAGAGATCAGCAGGCCTCGAAAACCGCTCTACCGCGCATCAAACTTCCTCAATTTTCGGGCGCGTACGAGGATTGGCCGTCATTCCGCGACCTGTTCTCGTCTGTCGTTGGAGAGAACCCCGCTCTCTCTAAGGTCGAGCGGCTGCACTATGTCCGATCGTGCCTGCAAGGGAATGCGGAGAAATTAATAAAGACACTTACGATTAGTAATGAGAATTATGATCGCGCGTGGACTACTCTCTCCAAGCACTTCGATAACAAACGGGAGCTTATCCGCTCCAATTTCGCGACCTTTACTTCCGTGCCAAAAATGAAGAGCGAGAGCGCGGAGGAGCTCAATCGTATACTTGCCGCCGCAACCGCCGCAGTAAACGCGCAGGAAAGTATAGGCCGACCGATTCAATCCCACGGGATGGACCTGTTCAACCACCTGGTCGCCGAGTTGTTCGATCCGCGAACTCGGCTTGAATGGGAGTCCTCCTCTTCTGACTCAAGCGAACCTGCCGATCATGAAACACTTATCGAGTTCATGACGAAACGAATACTTACCTTGAACGCCGCCAAACCAAGGTCCGCCGGGAAGGTGCTGCCTGACGCGCCGCGAACAGCTAAGGCTCATCACGCCAAACGTGAAAGCGAGACCGCGACCTGCGATCTGTGCAAATCCAAACACTCCCTGTGGCAATGCCCCGCGTTCAAGGCCAAGTCCGCTGCAGAAAGGAAGGAGCACGTAAATTCCGGGCGACTATGTTGGAACTGCCTCGGTCGTCACGCGGTCGCCAAATGCCAATCCACGCGTAATTGCTTCTCCTGCGGGGCACGGCACCACACTCTGTTGCACGACGCGAGCGCGCTCCCCATGCCGGTGGAGGCAAGCTCGCTGACCACCTCGCGACGGTGCGATAACAGTGGCTCAGTCCTCCTGGCGACTGCACGCGTACTCGTAACCGACCGCCATGGAGAAGCTCACACTGTCCGCGCACTAGTGGACCAAGGGTCCGAGGTGTCCATTGTCTCTGAGGCACTGGTCCAGAGACTCCGTCTCCCGCGTTCGCGCACCGCGGTGTCGATCCTCGGGATTGGGGGATCCAAGTCCGGAACGGCACGGGGAAAGGTGGCTCTCCAACTCACAGGTCAGACCACCGGCGCCGAGGTGTCCGTCGACGCGTACGTGCTCCCGCGGCTCACTCCGTACACGGGACCCGCGACAAACCGCGAGGCCGATTGGCCTCACATTCGAGGCCTACCTCTGGCCGACCCGCAATTCAACGCCGCAGATCAGATCGGGCTACTGCTCGGCGCTGAGGTATGCGGCGTCATCTTGGAGAGTGGACTCCGCAAGGGAGGTCCGCACTCACCGCTTGCCCAGAAAACCTCTTTGGGCTGGATCCTGTCCGGGTGCGGTGAGTCAAAAGCCATCACTAACTCGCGTGGAGCGCACCAATGCACCCTGGATCGCGATCTGAACGACCTGGTGCAGCGCTTCTGGCTTCAGGAGAAGGAGCCCTCGGTTCTCCCTGCTCTCACGCCCGACGAACAACGCTGCGAAGATTTCTTTGCCCGCACTCATTCACGCAATAGCACTGGGCGATACATCGTTCGGTTGCCCTTTTCCGCCAAGCCCGCCACTCTCGCCGGTACGCGAAAGCCCGCCGAAAGACTACTGGCTGCTATGGAGCGCAAGAGCCAGAGCGACCCACGCTTTGGCAGCCTCTACCGGACCTTCATGCAGGAGTACGCTGACCTGCATCACATGGAGAAAGTTAGCCACACGCCCGTCCAACAGAAAGAGATATGTTTCTTGCCTCATCACGGGGTGATGAAAGAGGCCAGCACATCGACCAAGCTCAGGGTTGTGTTCAACGGATCGCAGCGCACCGGATCAGAGGAAACGCTGAACGGCTGCCTGATGATTGGAGCAAACCTACTGCCCGCGTTGGCCGACGTTCTGCTGCGATGGCGGTGGCACCGCTACGTGTTCATGACGGACATCGCCAAGATGTACCGTCAAATTCTTGTGCACCCTCATGATCGGGACTGGCAGAGGATCCTGTGGCGTCCGAGGCCCGACGGAGAAGCGCTAGAGTACCGCCTCAACACGGTTACCTACGGCTTGGCGTGCGCCCCGTTCCTCGCCATTCGGACGCTCCGTCAACTGACCGACGACGAGGGAGGCCGCTTCCCGCTGGGTGCTGCGGCGTTGAGGAGCGACTCCTACGTCGACGACATCGTCACCGGCGCCGACTCCGCGGAAAAGGCCAACTCAACGGCCCGAGAACTCCAGGACTTGTGCAAGGCGGGCGGGTTTTCCTTGCGAAAGTGGGCCGCTAACTGCCAAGCCGTACTTGCTGGAATTCCCGTAGAGCACCGCCTCCAAGTGTCCTCGCGACAGTGGAACGTGGACCGCCACTCCACCTTGGGACTGCTTTGGCACCCCGTCGAGGACTCGTTCGCCATCTCACTTCGCGCACGCACAATACCACCGCTCACGAAACGTAACGTGCTCGCCGAGACGGCCCGGCTATTTGACCCGCTCGGATGGCTGGCCCCCCGTGATTATTCGGGCGAAAATCCATATCCAGTCCGCCTGGATTCAACAGGTGGATTGGGACTCGACTCTCCCAGCGCCCGATGCCCGCCTCTGGCGAGCCTTCCTCGAGGACCTTCCGAGCCTCGAGGGAATGAGAGTGCCGCGATGGTTGGGCAGCGACATCGCCACGGCCGAACTCGAGATGCACGGCTTCGCCAACGCATCGGAGAGAGCTTACGCCGCAGTAGTGTATCTCCGCACTTCACGCCCCGACGGCAGCACGATAAACTTGCTCGCCGCCAGGAGCAAGGTCGCCCCGGTGAAGCCTGTATCTCTCCCTCGGTTGGAGCTTTGCGCTGCGACACTCTTGACCAACCTCGCGCATCACGTGCGCGAGGTATTGTGCTTGTCCACAGCCCCGCTCTTTTTATGGTCGGACTCCACGGTCACTCTTCACTGGATACGCGGCCACGCTTCCCGGTGGAAAACCTACGTGGCGAACAGGGTAGCACGGATCCAGGACCGCCTCCCCGGAGCGCAGTGGCTGCACACGCCTGGACACGAGACCCCGCGGACTGCGCTTCACGAGGCATCTCACCGAGCGAGCTAATTACTCACCCACTCTGGTGGTCCGGCCCCCCTTGGCTCAGTCGTACCCGAGATGCCTGGCCAACTCAGAAGGTCCATGAGGAAGACGAAGGCACTGGCGCCATTCCGGAGAGCCGCACCGTGGCTTGTGTCGCCACACATGCACCCACGGAACCTGAAACCCTCCTACGCTTTTCCTCCTGGCACTCCCTCCTCAGGGTCACAGCTTGGATGCTCCGCTGGAGATATCCTCACCATGGCCCCCTCGAACCTGACGAGTTGAGAAAGGCCTCCCTACTGTGGATACGCCTCGCTCAGGGCATCCACTATCCCGCCGAAATCAAAGCCGCCACACGTGACCGCGCCGTACTCGCCACGAGCCCCCTAGCCAAGCTGAGCCCCTTCCTGGATGAGGACAGCATCCTGAGGGTAGGAGGACGGCTGAGGAACGCGAGCCTTCCACGTGACGAGCGACACCCCATCATCCTGCCGCCGGCGTCATGGCTCACCCTCCTGATGGTGGATGCCCACCACCGTCGCTCGTTGCATGGCGGTGTGCAGCTCACCCTAGGGCTGCTGCGCCTTGAATATTGGCTGCCGCGAGGAAGAGCCGTGGTCAAGCAACGGCTGCGGCAGTGCGTGACGTGCATTCGCTGGCGAGGAACCGCACTCCAACCTACCATGGGCAACCTTCCGCGGGACAGAGTGACCCCCGCACGGCCGTTCACGAAGACTGGAGTCGATTACGCTGGGCCCGTGGCTGTTCGCACCAGCAAGGGACGCGGACAGCGCACCACCAAGGCCTTCATAGCGGTGTTCGTCTGCCTCAGCTCCAAGGCGGTTCACCTGGAATTGGCGTCCGATTACACCTCCGAGGCCTTCCTGGTGGCCTTCCGCAGATTCACCGCCCGCAGAGGCCTCTGCACGGACATGTATTCGGACTGTGGAACCAATTTCGTGGGGGCCGACAAGGAGCTCAGGCGTCTCTTCCAAGCCTCCTCGCGCGACGGCCACCGTATCGCCCGAGAGGCCGCTACCTCTGGAACTAAGTGGCACTTCAACCCCCCTGCCGCTCCTCACTTCGGAGGACTCTGGCAGGCTGCGGTAAAATCAACCAAGCACCATCTCCGGAGGGTGATCGGCGAGGCTAAGTTGACGTTCGAGGAATTCACCACCCTCCTTACTCAAATAGAGGCTTGCCTCAATTCCCGACCTCTTCGCGCGCTATCCGATGACCCCGAAGATCTGTCCGCACTCACTCCTGGTCATTTCTTGATAGGCTCACCACTGCTAGCTGTCCCGGAACCGTCACGCGACGACCAGAGGGAAGGCTCACTCTCCCGGTGGCACAATGTCCAAAGGATGCGCGACCACTTTTGGAAACGATGGTCGCACGAGTACCTTGCCGAAATCGCAACCAAACCGAAGTGGCACAAACCAGCAATCACACCGGAGATCGGCGCACTATGCATCATCCGCTCGGAGAACACTGCACCGACTCACTGGCCACTCGCGAGAATCACGAAGCTGCATCCGGGTGACGATGGAGTAGTCCGAGTCGTCACCCTTAGGACCGCCTCGGCGATCCTTGTGCGTCCGGTCACGAAAATTGTACCGCTGCCGGGCATTCGTGCCGCTACGGCTGAAATTTAATAAAACCACGATCGCGCACATCGCGGTCCTCGAATCGCGTCCCCTGAGTTACTACGCTCACAATCATTGAGCCCCACGAGTCGCGCGATTTCGCTCGGCAAAATCAGCTGTGCGAGCACGTGAAAAGCGCGTGCTCGCTACCGCGCCGCTGCAGCGGGCTCACGCGCGCTCCCACCGGCGCGCCACAGACTACCGCGCGCCAAGTCTTTGTGGCCGCAAGCATATCGGCGACATCACCTCATCATCGCACCTAAAATCATGTAGCCTAACCGACAGTCAGATATATGCATATATGTAAAATATGTTGCCGGACATCAGACACCTCCGCGCGGAATCATCCCTTCTAAATTTATTTCGCGCATAAGACGGCACTCTCGAGACTTAGTCAAATGAAATACGTTTTGTTTCCTCCATCTCTCTTAGCGAGGTGCTTGTCGCTTCATCCGGAACCGTCAAGGCGGGCGGGAATGTTGG